TCAACAGCAATGCTTCCAAGACCAGATAGAACAAGGGAGGCCAACTTCTAGGAGATTTCAAGGAGCAGGAATTAGGGAGGGGCCCACCAGGCACTGAGAGGTGGCAAATGCCACCATCTGGTGTGGTGAGTAGCTACAAAGCAGCACCCCCCATGTGGGAAGCCAAGCCAGAGTCCCTGGACTCCCATTCCTTCCAAAATGCCTTGTGTGACAACTTCCGGCACCTGGCTTAGGACATTTTTATGACTTTTGGCTTCTCCCCCCCAGACCTATAGTGAACCACCCTTGAATTCGGAGACTCCACATGGTGGTGCTGTCCTGCTCACACCAGACTTCCAACCAGAGTCCTGAAAAAGGGGAACATTCTGACACTCTGCATATAAAAGCACCTTGTGGACATGGCACCTGGGAAGAAGCAGTTATCTCTAGACAGAACGTAGACACCAGCCTGAGCAGGTATACAACACAATTCTCCAAATAACCTGTGTCCATTAATATCACTGAGGACACAGTGAACACTCAAGGAGCTAAATATGAACCTCTTCTGTGGAAGGAGACTTGGAATCTGGTCAAAGCCTATGGCAAGGGAGGGAATGGGCCCAAGTACAGGGCATGCCACTAATATTTTTCTACGTGGCCATATTGTCGAGCTTCCTTCTAAATATTGATATTTATACCCATAGATGAATGCCACTCTTATTCTAGGGCAGAGAAACTTCTTTCTGCAGAGTGTGACAGTTAATACAAAGGTACATATCTGTCTGGTCTAAGGGCTGAGAAAAAGAATGATTGCTAAGCCTTCATCCTTAAACAAGACCTCTATATAACCCCTCTCTTTAAGACCCAGGAACCATAACAGAAAATGGGGAGAAGTGAGGGAAGAAAGGGAACCTGGGAAAGAGAGGTTGCCATCCAGATTAGACACAGGACAATAGCAACTGCCGTGGTGTTATCAACTTAACTCAAGAATCATCTGGGAAGGGGAATTACTTACATCAGATTGGCCTGTAGACAAATCTGTGTGGCGTTTTCATGATTGATTGATATGGGAGACTCTAGCCCACTGTGGGCCCTGCTACTCCTAGTTAGGTAGTCCTCAGAGCTGTAAGAAAAGTAACTGAATTCAAGCTTAGGCAGCAAGCCAAGAAACAACAGCTTTCCTCCATGCTTGCTGTCTTGACTTCCCTCAATGATGTGACTGTGACACCTAAGTGTAATAAACCCTTTCCTTCCCAAGATGCTTTTAGTCATGGTCTTTATCACAGCAACTGAGAAGAAAGCTAGGACAGTGGCGGTGAACACAAGGCAGCTGTGGATAGCCACACAAGATTCTCCTCCCCACAAGCTTCTTCATGGACAGAGGGGTGCCCCCCCCCCAAGCCTGATTCCTTCCTAAGGAGCTATGTCTGCAAAGGTGTTGCCAATGGGAGACAAGGAGGGGTTCAGACGGAAAAGGAAGTGGGTGGTGAAGAATAATGGTGAAGGATAATCACAGCACATTGTATATTTGTGTGAAACTAAAAGAGAAAAAAGAAAGAATCAGTTCCAAAATAATGGAACACTTTGCCTGAGAAAACATGGCACCTATTACCACGGCTGTTACAAGATTCCCTTCTTTCCATAATCCTTGCCTGTGTGCTGCAAAAAAATAAATAAGTAAATAATTTTAACACTTCCTCCAATATTTAGTATCTGAAGAAAATATCCTATTTAATAAGATAGCCCGAAAACTGGCCAGTGAAAAGAAATCTAGCCCTCATTTTTTTGTTACAATTAATTGCTTTTTTTTCTTTTGCTACAATTAGTTGCTTTTGTGATTATTTAATTAACCAAACTTTTCACACAAGCAAGGCGCTCATTCAGTTCCCACCTGTGACCTTTCCCAAGCTTGTTTACCTGGAAAGACACAATGTAACTAAAGCCAATCTCCCAGCCTGGAGTGGAGGCTCAAGAAGTAGCTGGCGTTTGGTGTCCCCTAAACTTTCCAGGCCACTGAGGTTTAATTACCCGGCGCAGCTTACCGTGGGGGATGGGGAGGGAGTGGAGGATGGGGTGACCGAGGCTATAGAACTGACAGGCTCCCATCCTCCACCCGCTCTGCCACAGAAGCCAGCTGCACACCCAGTGTACCAGGGACAAAGAGGGGCAAAGCTGACTGCTGGGGAGTCTGCATTCAGCTGGCAACTTGAAATGCTACATTCCCCTTTTCCAGCAATTTCTGTATGTTGGAAAGATTGAGGTCTCTCTGCAGGGCTCTAGGCTGGCCTGGAAGGCGGAACTCTAAGGCTTAATTTCTAAAAGGGGTGTGAGCTAGAAACCCCTTCAAGACCCAGGGACTGGGTTTTGTTTTGTGACCAGCTACTGCCACAAAAGAAGGACCCACCCCCATTCCGAGTATTCAATTAACCCTGTGTGTGACGCCTAGGATAGGAGGTTGGTTCAGTCCCCTTTCAGCAGATTCCGAGGGGGGCTTTCTTTAAGGATTCTTTTTCTACAAAGGAGGCCAACTAAGTAGCTTTTTGTTGTTGTTGCTGCTGGGCTCTGGCCTATTGTTACCTCCAGAGGGACCTTTTCCACTTAATTGGGCTTTAGAATCCCACCACTATTGTATTTGTATATACGAAATACCAGCTGAGGAAGTCTGCAGGTTTAAATCTCTAAGCGCTTCGGCAAGCAGATTCCCAAGCTTCCTTAGCTGTACTGCCTGATGTAAGTCACCCTGATAGAAAGAATTTCATAAAATTAGAACCTCAACAAGAATGTGTTTCTTTTGCGTTTCTGTTAGGCATCAGCCACTGCCTTCCTCTTTGTGTGCTGGTTTCTAGCGAATCCCTTGTGTCCAGGATTGGCATTTAGGAAAAAAGAAGTCACTATGAGCTTCACCCCCTCCCCAAAGCACACAACACGTTTTGGTTTGGCATCCTTTGGGGTTCCAGCATTTTGACTCTCCAGTTAGATAAGGAGTCCTATCTTCAAACAAAAAAAGAAACAGACATGAAATGTACACAGCAGAAGATACCTGTGGGGAGCCAATGTATATGTGAACATTAAGCGTGATGTCAGACAACAGGGCGTGGTGAGGCCTGAGGAAAATCAGGCCTCATCACATCTCTCAGAGACTCACTTTTGCAGGAATTACACTATTTCACTCCCTAATTTCTATTTTTTTTTTCCTTCTCTGAGGCAACAGTTCTACTTCTTGCCTTGGGGATTAGACAGACTTCTCAGAGGGTGGGGCATCATACTGGTGAGACTAAGCAGACATCATAAATAATGGTGGCTCTCTAGGCATTGCTGCCATAGACAGTCCTGGGGAAAGCTAAAAGAGTCCACATTTAAGTTAGTGCTCTCTGGCCTCTCATGGGAGGCTACAATAAGTATTAATGTCAGGCCTGTCTGTGATGGCGACAACTGTCAGCAGCCAATAAGGAGGCTCTACCTGTTCACAACACCTGGTTCACCTCACTAGTGGGCATTAGGTGCCTATCCTGGGTGGCTGCTTGCTGGTCCCACCTCTGCACCAAGAATACCTACTTTTCTTTGCTGAGGTATACACAGAGCTTGCCGTTGTGTATCCAAAATACACATGTCCAGCTCATACAAGCAGAGGGTGGCAGCTGGCCTCTGACCCATGAATAGGACAATGTGCTCCAAAAGTATTCTTGACAAACTCTGTGCAGACAAAAAGAGATCCAGCTCTGGGGGTAGAAAGTGCTGCTTATGACTCAGCCCTTCATTTACACTGTGGATGAGCAGAACAGAGACATTTGGTGCTTGGGTTATAATGTACTGGGTTGGGGAGAGATGGCTCAGTCAGGAAAATGCTTGCCTTGCATGGAGACCTGAGTTCCATACGCCAGAATACACAAGCAAGGCATGGTGGGATGTGTCTATAATCTCAGAATTACTGTTTGGCAGAAATAGGTCTATTTCTGAGTCTCCCTCTCCAGCAAGCCTAGCCTACTGTAGTAGAGCAGCTCCTGGTCAATGAGAGACCCTGTTTGGAAAAACAAGATGTACTGCATCTGAGGAACAACTGTAGAAATTGTCTTCTGGTCAACACACACATACAAGTGAACCTCTGTGCATACTTGAGAACACAGGCCACAAATGACATGACTCAGGATGCCCTTGCATGAGATAGCTTTTGCCATATGCATCAATGAATACAAGAAGTCATCTCTCGCTTCATCATATAACTTACATCACCTATTAACCAGAGTTTCATCGAGGAAAGTCAACAGACTATGAGACTACATGTTAGGGAAAGCACAGTCTTGTCCAGGTCAGAGCTAGGAACCTTCCTACCGTTCCCTGTAGCCCCTTCAGGGACCCTTAAAAGGGCTTAATGCATGCTGGTGAAACTCGTCATATATTTGAAAACCTGAATTCAATCTAAACATTTTAACCATTTTATCAAGTACCATTGAAGACCTCCGCAGAGGGGAGACCCTCTCTCAAGTCTCAGAAAGTCACGACCACCCAGTAATCTGCTCGAGACACCATGTACCGGAGCAATTGCGAGGTTGTTTATTAGGGCGTGACAACTAGCTGCCGGTCAATTCGTATGCCCACGCAGGAGCTGAATTGACCCGACAGCCAGTTTGAAAGGTGTTTTTAAAGGGAAAAAACACAAACCAAGAATGGGGAGGGGGTGAGAGGTTGCTAGGGTGGTGTAACATGAAAATAGTGGAACATTCCAAAGGAACCTAACCTATATGAGTCAGGGTCAGGTGAAAACTCACTGTACGCTTATCTTTCTCAAGAATGTGGTCCTGCCCTGTTACTTCGGCCTTGCCCTGTCACTATGATTCTCAGCTTGGTTCCACCTGGCTAAATTGCATTCTAGCCAGTTCCTGTAATTAGTCTGTCCACATTCTTAACTTGCTTCATGCCTCCATGTCTTTGTAAAGAAAGCCTAAAGAATATTTTATATCTAAAAAGGATTCTATATACCCAGTATCTATAATTTTTCACTCTACACCATGTTCACAGTGTACCTCAAAGAACTGACAAGTGAATCTCTAGAAATCCTATCTGTTAGTAAAATGACCCAAAGCTGCAAAATAGAGAAACGGCAAAAAAGGGGTTTCCGTAAAAAGAAGCAGAGATCTTCCATCAGTTGAAGCAGAAACTGGAAAGCTGGAAAACTGACATGGTCTCCGGTCCAAAGTACCCTTTCTGAACCCCACTGCATGGGGCTGACAGACGCCTACCAGCTTTTTCGGCCATGGTGCTGGTTCATACCAGGTAAGAAGATGGTGATTCCCTCTGAATGCAGCTATTGTGAGGGATGTACCTGTCTCCGAATAAATAAGAACTGACAACAGACAGGGACAATGCAAGTTGAAGCATCTGTGATTACTAGGGGTCTGATTAAAGAGCAGAGAGGATGTCACAAGCAAAGACAAGGAGATTATGAATTTTAAAGGCTCCCCATGCACATAGTGGAGGCATGGAAAAGTTAAGATGCTTATAAAATTGGATTCTGGCTGTAGCTCAGTGGTAGAGCATTTGCCTGATATGCTCAAAAAGCCTTGGGTTCCATCCACAGCACCTCAAACACACACAAGCAATAAGTAAATAAATGCTAGTTTTCTGGGAATGTTTCATTCCCATGCTGACATCTTAGGGGTTATGAAATGTTTGACCCTACTCTCTCTTTTGGGTCATTAAGTACTTCAGCCTATAGACAATTAAAATGCTGTAAGAATTGTCTTGGTGGCAGGAGCAGTCAGCCTTTTATAGCTTCCACTGTTTCTAAAGTGTCAGACAGAGACCAATCAGAATGTGCGCTCTGTCTCTTTAAAAACAACAGGGCTTCTCACACTAATGGGTAAGGTCTGGCGTCCTTACCCATTAGTAACAGGCAGAAACCCCCAGCAGCTGGGGAGTACCCGTAGGTGCCGCTGCCGGCCATTTTGTTGAAAAAAAAAATGCCAGCCCATAGGTGGGACACCAGGCTAGTTCACTTCTTGCCTATTCACTGGGCACATGTGGCTTTTGTTATTTCTTTGGGTCATCACCTCTTGTCAGCTATGGGTATTGAGTGTGGGTGGAGAAGAAAAGGGAATCACAGAGAGGTGATTGACTATAGATGCGGAGGAACAGGCATCTAAGACCAGCTGGAGGGAGATGGTGTCCCGTGTGCGTGGAGGACATGCCTCTTTTGTTTATCATGTGTTACCACAGCCTGGAGAGGAACACTGCACGGTCCTGGGGCATGCAGATAAACCAGGCAGGACCAGAGGGGCAAGGGTGGAGCGAGGGCTGTTCAAAAACCCATCTACAGAGCAGAAAAACAGTGGGAATATTGGCGGTCAGAGGCTCAGCAACTCACTTCCCCAACCTGAACGCCAAGAAGCTTCAGACCTCAGCAAAGTTCTGTCTCTAGCACAGGCCCCCACAGGCTTTTCCCAGCCTCCGTCCTCCAGCCCCTCCCTCCAAGCTGCTCTACAGGATCCTCCCCCAGAAGTGGTTCCCTTCAGGCCTTGATATTTTAAAACGAATTTCACCTACCCATTAACACAGGTGGAGTCTTATTTATAAGACTTCCTTGCCTCATCTCCCTCCTCCACCCTGGGGCAGTTAGTGGCTTGTTTACAGGTCATTAAGCCAGAGTGGGGGTGGTGGGAGGAGGCTGTGAGAGGCTGGTCTACTGTTCTGGTGAGATCAAGTAGGGAACAGAAGAGGCAGAGGGGTGGGATAGATGGGCGAGTGGGTAAAAGCTTAGTATCCCAGAAAGCTGAAGACCCCCGAGTTCAATCCATAGAACCCACACAAAAAGCCCAAAGTGGTGACAGACATGTCATCCCAGCACTGCTCCCTTGAGATGAGAGATAGAGACAGAACAGTTGCCAGGATGCCCCAGGACTAGCCTGGAGTTCTGCTCAGCAGCAGCAGCAGCAACAGCAGGAGGAGGAGCAGCAGCAGCAGCAGCAGCAGCAGCAGCAATAGATGTGCCTTGCTGACAGTCAGGCTGGGTAAGCTCTTCCAAGGCCTGCAACATTAGTTAGCAACACATGTAACTAGGAGATGGAAGCCCTGGTCTCCTCAGATCCACCTGAGGAGATGGATGTGCAGGTCTTACCTGTACCCAAAGATCAGCAGTCTGTGCCAGACAAGAACAATTCTTAAAAGGGTTGAATCTTTTGAACCTGACATTGTCTGCCAACTTGCTTTCTGAAAAACATGATCCTGGGGGCAAGCAGCCACCGTGATGTCACACGTGTGAACATCATATGATGTTTAGGTAGTTTACTACTCTCTAGGACATTAAGCAATCACTCACCATGCTTTTCTTTAGCCCACACCAGCCAGCACTCTCACAGGTCTATGGACTTCTCAGTAGGGGACATTCAGCCCAGATCCCCTCCTCACTCAGGGCAAGGGGCATTTAGCTGGCTGCCTTAGGCCAAAATCCTCACCAGCCTCCCTGTAGTCACACCATCCTCCCTATAATAGTCTTCCTGAAGCCTAGATCATAAAGGGTTAGAAACTATCACTGCCTGGCTGTAACACAGGATACATATGCATACACACACGTATACAGATACATGTACACACATACCTACAACACATCCTATATGCCTTGTATCCCACAATGAACAAAGCACAAACTTCTTGTGGCCTGTGTCTGACTTTACCCTTCCCCATTTTCACGGGCTGGCTTTCCTTATGTTTCTCTGATGTGCTCCGGGAGACCTACCTCCAGGGTTCTACGCTTGCCACACTCCTATCCGTTTTGGTCTAAGCAGCCTTCCAGATGCTTAGAACTGTCATAATTTTCATTTTCCTTTGTTTCTCAGTCCAATTTGCTTTCAGCGGCTTGGACATGACAGCCCGCAACAGTTTCCTTAGACACCATGCTGAGGGAAGACCCCTGCGTAGCATAGGTGACAATGGACATTTGTTTACTTCCTTTGATTTATCTTAGAGAATTAAATTTGTGCTTGAACATCTTCAAACATATATAAAAATGCATTCTAATTGCTTCTCGCCCATGGCTGCCGCCCCCTTCAGCGCCCCCCCTGGCCCCCCCGGCTTTTCCTCACATTCATGTCTTTGTTTTATTTTATGGCTCACTGCATTTAATGAATAAAAAGGTAGAACTGGCGTTCCAGCCTGCTGAACTTCCCCCACACCTGCAGCCCTACTGGCATCTTCCACATACAGTCTCACAATCTTTCCTCAGCACCCGTTACTCCCCTACCTTACTCATTCAGGTCAAACACACAGACCCTTCTCCATCAGGCCGTAAGGACACCAAGAAGAAACCTAAATGGGCTCTCTCTTGTGTTTCTGAGGATGTATGAAGAGTGCCTTTAGTTAAGCCCCGGAGTCCCTCCTGTGTCTTGATGATAATGAGAGTATCCTGCCTTCCTTGATTTTCCCCACCTCCAGAGGAAAAGAATGGGGTTCAGGAAACAGCCAAAAGAATCCATGTACCTTTTGGATCTGACATGAAAAGACCCTAGAGGTTCATGTGTTGAAGGTTTGGTTCCCAGCAGGTGACTTTATATTGGAGGCGTCTGGTGGGAGAACCTAGTTAGAGGAAGTGGGTCACAATGGGGAGCAGGTCTTTGGAGGTTGTACCTTGTTGATCCCCTCCTCCCTCTCTGCTTTCAGTCTACTATGTGGTAAAGAGGTTGTCAGGTTCCCTACTTCTGTAGCCTTAATGTTCTACCCAATTCCAGAAAAGACAAACAAGCCCAGAATAAATCCCCTGAGACTGTGAACCACAATGACTCCTTTTACATTGGAGTCAATATACCAGGTATTTTGGATTCAGCAACACAAAAATAAACTGGCATAGATACAGTTAAAAGTCATTACAATATTAAAAACAACAACAACAAAGTAAACAGATGTGATGATTAGTGCTGTCAACTTGACAGGATCTGGAATCATCTGGTAGACCTCTACATTTGTCTATGGGGGACTTTGATTACATCACTTGAGGTGGGAAGGCCTGTCCACTGTGGGCGGCACCATTCTCTAGAAAGTTGGGCACTTTTTCTATGTGTGTGCAGTCAATGCTCTCTGGCTCCGATTCATTCCTGAAGATGTGTTGTCATCAGCTCCCTCAAGCTCCTACCTCTGGCATATCTCCACTGGTATGCCTTAGACCTATAATCCAGAATAAACACTCTCTTCCTTGAGTTAATATCAGGTCAAGATATTTTATTATAGCAACAAGAAAGGAAACTAAGACCTTCGGGACTAGGATTAAAATAGAAATTGTGATTCCAAAATGTAAATAAAATTCAAGACCAATGTGCAAATGTTTAAAATGCATTTTGGAACATAGTGAATGTTTAGGTGGATACTTCTACACTTAAATCATGATCTATAGTATTTGCATTCAGCCTAGTAAGGTAAACTAAGTTGCTGCTGCTAAGTATAAAGTATTTTCATGGTATGGTAGTTGCAGAGTTATCTGCACATACTTCCTCCACCCCTTAACACACATTCTCTCTCTCTCTCTCTCTCTCTCTCTCTCTCTCTCTCTCTCTCTCTGTGTGTGTGTGTGTGTGTGTGTGTGTGTGTGTGTGTGTGTGTCTACACACAGGCTCTGCATTCTAGGACAAGTTCAGTCCTCTGTACACTATATCTCCTTGACCCAGGGAGAAAGATCCTCTCCATCTTTCTGCTAATGTGTTCTGCTAATCAGACCTGTCAGAGGCAACATCTTTGCCACCAAACAGGAGATTTGCTTTAGAAAATCACTTAGGAAAAAAAGCTGATCCTAGGAATCCACAGTATACACCCGAACAGCAGTTTCTGGTGACTGCACCAGACCTCTAACACGGGCATATAAATCAGCTGTATATAAGTCTTTCTGGTCACTTGATTTACTTCTCCAACATCCATTGTGGAGAGCCAGAGGCAGATGCATGTTAATGTTCCCTGGCACTAGGTTGATTGTATTTCTTTCCTATACCAGCTCTGGTGCGTTTGTCACAGCCGTGGTACTAACCCCAGCTCACAGCTCATATCACAGCGTGCCATCTGGGCTAAGGTGCTGTGCTGGATCTGGAAGGTTAACAGGACCATAGTCCTCAAACTTTCTGCACAGTGAAACGGTGTCGTGGCACCAGTACCCCGACAAATGTGTGACTTAGTTTCCATATCATGAACCTAGGATTTGATTATGGGACAAAATTCTAATCTTTAAGACTGTCCAGTTATTTAAGTGTTGATGCTGACTTATCATCCATGAGCCACACGGTGCTGGGATAGGTGCTGCCAAGACTACAGCCTGCTCTCTCTGTACCACAATCCAAGCTCAGCTAGATCGTAGCCACACTTGTGCAGTGCAGATCAAGGGTCCTATTGTATGCTATCCTCTAAGTCCAGACAGCCTGCAGTGGGCCCTAAGTACGCATCTCATAGCCTCTGAACTGCAGCCTTTGGTAGCAGCATCTGGACACGGGTTTCCATTGTCTTCATTTCCTGTTGTCACCCACAGATACGCTCCTTGGGGAAGTCCCCAAGTTTCCCAGGGTTTGCATTCCCTTTGTCTCTCCCTGCAATTGAATGATGTCCTCCCTCCCCTGTGCCACATAACGGTAGTCCTCTGGGACTCGGAGCCATAGACTCAGCCCTCGAGGAATGTCAGCTTTGGGCTACTACAGATCAATATAATCTAATACATAACAAACACTAGGTGCTTCCAGGAAGACATGAGCTGGAGACGCTTTTTAGAAATTGTAGCTAAGCTTAAAGAATGACTGCAGGTGATACATGCATGTGGCCTGCCTGAGGAGAGAATGACATGAGAGTAGACACAGACTGCAGGAAAATAGAAGCCAATTGTGTTGGTAAGGAACGAAGCAGACATGTCACCATCAGAACAAGATGAAGAGGTAGGTCAGGAGTGTGTACCCACTTCCATCAACACCATGAGGTTCTTGTACCTGGCCCTAAAGGTAGACAAGGATCAATGTGTGATCAAATAGCAAACTCTCCTGACAAGGATAAGCACAATAAAACAAGACTATTTGCCTGTGAGCCAGCACTCCCTGTCCAGAACCTAACCATGGACCAGACTTCTAGTGAATTGATCCCAATTGGGCTTCAAGACCCTGCATTCTGACCTAGCCCTTGGCTGCAGCCACCAGGATGATGTCCTGGCCTAAGTGTGAAGATGCTCCAACCTGAGCTAATTCGATCCTCCATACCAAATACTGCTCTATGGCTGCTGTGTGCTCTCAGCAGTTCCCCAAGCCGCTTCTCCAGTGTGCCGGGGCTATGACCCAAAACTCATGCCACTTTTAGGATGGCAAACCATTCTCGTGTGTTTCAAACCCCAGGCCCTATGCCAGGGATGCAAACACAAATGCAAACCAGGGCATAATTCTGTCCCCCAAGGATTGCAAGCTTGGTGCAGCAAGGCTAATCATCTTTTCTGTGAAGAATTCAGACACTACCAGCTTATGTGATATTTTCCACCTAATACCAACCAGCTTCCTGTTAAGGCTAGGATGGGTTCTGAATTAGAAATTGGCCACCCCACCCCCACCCCGGTGTATTCCATGGCCACCATCTCAGTCCCTTTTGAAGCATCCCAAGAAGTCCCCCTGGGGACATGTTAATCAGATGCTGGGCTTCTGGGACTCCGGAGAGTCTGGGCTACAATTCCTCCTTGGCTAGGTCCGCTCTAAGAAAATCCTCCTAGTTTTGGAGGGGGGCTTTATGATCCAAGTGCAAGCTCAGCCTGGTTCTTGTTTTTTAACAAGGAATTAGGAAAATACAAGAAATCTCCCGGAATCAATCTGCTTCACTGCAACAGCTAGCCTCAGCAGAACGACTGTTCCTATCAACACGGCAGAGGCATGGGCCAGACAGCCCACATTATCTGAGTCCCCCATCCCCGACTCACCTGAGCAGCGCTGCCCAGGTCCGGCTTCCTCAGACTCCCAGCCTGGAGAGCTCTGCCTCATCTCAGAGGCAGTGTGCAGTGCGCTTTTCCCTGTAGCCCGGCAGCCGTCAAAACACTCTCCAGACTGCAGCGTGAATCTAAATTTGGGGTCCTAGGCAGGGGCTTCCAGAGGTGCTTGGCACTGCTTGGCACGGCCAGTAAAAGTGTCTCAGCTCCATTCAGACTGCTGACCTTGGCATGGGCGCTGTGTTGTACAACTCATCTTGCTGGTTCGAGGAAGCTTTAACTGTCTCTTCCCCGAGCTCATAACCCTCAAGTTGCAGGCTGAAACAACGTCCCACGAAGCCACAATGCTCATGCCCCAAGCTACGCACAACCAACCCCTGCAAAGTGTGCCAGCTAAAGGGAAGCCATGACTTTGAGCAGACTGAATCTGGGTGGAAGGCTGTTTATCTCCACCCCCCTCCGAACAGCATCAGTTAAGTCAATCACAGAACATCTTAAACGTGAAGATACTTTATTTATTCTCGTGTTCCTCAATAAATTCCTGTCCATTAAAGCCATCCTCCCCCCCCACACACACACACACACACAAACACACAAAAATAGCTCTACAGTCCTCTCCTGACTGGTACAACATATTGTTCTGATTTAACTTATCTGCTTAAAACTCCTTGTGGGAAGGATATAGTTGCCGGAGGAGACACGGCTATTTAAATCCTGTAGCCATTTCAGAGGTTAAGAATACACACCAGGATAGGACTCTGTGGTTGGAGAGTAAAGGGGTATGTGAGAAGAACAGAGTTGAGACTCCAGAGATCTGAGATCCTGGTATACCAGTGATGTCATTGCACAGATGTTGGTGTGATTTGGTTCCTGGCTAGTTGATGTGACAGTCCTAGCTAGCTAACAGCATCGTCATTCCTGTATTTGGGATTCGTTTGACTAAACATATCTACCCATAGCTTACAAAGTCAATACACCATAGAAGAGAATCCTGAAGGCTTTTAGGGTTCAGAATCACCACCCTTTCACTTAGCCCTGTGACACTTCCCCCCCTTCAGTAACTACAGCTTCAGTGTCCCTGTTGGTGAGATAGGAAACTGGGGCTTGGCGTGGGCTGGGGCAATCCCTGTGAGGAATAAATAAGTTACTATGTGCAAAATCACCCAGAAACCATGCTCAGTCCACCATGTGATCGATGAATACAGCGACTTCTGCTGTAGCCAATGGTTCTGATTCTATCATGACTGTCTATTTCATTCCCTGTCTTACAGGTGCTGGGTCTGCTCAGCATCTGGCTGTAGGCAACCCTCTTTATCAATGGTCTATGCACCTACAGGTTTAACCAATTGTGGTTTTCAATACTAGGCTAGGGCATGGCACAGGCATAAAGAGCTTGCATTTGTAAAGCCCTGGGCTTAATACTCAGCATTAAAAAAATAAAGGGAAGAAAATACTCCAAAACTAACTACACTGACTTGAACCGGTCTTCTCATGATTCCCTAGGCGATGGTCATGTACACGGTTCCCCCCTCCCCCGTTGTATCTAAAGGAACTTAAACATCCATGACTTTGTGAATCTTGTTTCCTATTGGTATTTATAGGCATCTCTTTATATAAATGTCATAGTTTTAAAGAAATAATATTCTATTGAGGCTTTTGAGACAATGTCACATATCTGTGTCTAGCCAATCATAGTAGCTGGGAAGAGAGTCTCGCTGACAGACTGGTTGGCCAGTGGGGTGTCTATGAGGGATTTTTCTTATTTGGTTACTTGAGGTAGGAAGATCCACTGTGAGTGTGAGCAGCACCATTTCATGGGCTAGATGGTATAAAAATGAAAGAAGCAAGCTGAGCACACACACGTTCATTGTCTTTCTGCCCCTGACTCGCTCTTGGATGTGATGGGATCAGCTCTCTGAAGCTCCTGTCACACAATGACTTCCCTATCATGGTGTATTTGGAATTTTAAGCTAAAATAAAACTTTTATCTCCTAAGTTGCTTTTCGTCAGGGTATTTTATCGCAGCAACAGAAATGGATCAGTAGAGTCTTGTCTAAACAATATTCCACAAGCAGTTACTTAGGACTTACCGTATACTCAGTTCGACACACAAAATACCATAGTCTTTGTGTTCACAATCTGTCTCAAGCAATGTTCCTTCTGGTGAGCATTTAAAACACACTCGTGTTTGCAAGACAGTACCAGCACCCAGAACCATCTTACTTTCCCTAGGTTATGGATCTGGTCAGCGTTCATTATGGCTTGGAATGCAGATTTTTAACTCAATATTTTTGTCTTCTGTGGCATTAACTATCAGAGCTAAGGAATATCACACATAGAAAATCAGAAAGAGAATTTTTTTTCTGGGGTGAGCAAGCAATAGTCTTAACTCTTTCTCTCTGCAAAATTTGACCATGGGGTCCAATGTTTCAATGCTATACGGATCTTATGAAAACTTTTAAAGTATATGTCTACCATATACTTCTTGCTAAATAGTTACAAATATATTCTGCTCTTAGTAGCAGCAGTGATGCTAATGAAATCAGAGTTCAGTTTGTGTTACCTGCCACTTACAGAGGCCAGTAAAGCAAAGATGGAATTGAATCTTGAAATGTCACTATGCAGTCAGCTGGCAGCCCAAGAAGAGAGCTGATTAGTGTCCTAGATACCTGTTTTCATCCTATCTCCTGCAGGCAGGTTATATAGGAAGAATGAGGGTTCATCTTTGTTCTCTTTAATTCTGCTCTAATATTTCTCAACAAGTATGGACCCAGTCAATTTTTTTAGTGCAGGAAAGGTGACAAGTACTGGTCCAGCAAGGTTTTGGTCGATCAGGGTTTTGGTCCATCACAGGGTGCTCAGCAATAATATCCTTGGTTCCTACTCACTGGATTCCAGTGCCATCCTCAGTTGAAACAGTAAGACGTCTCAGGGAGAATCCACCTCACTTGAGAATACCCATACTAGGCTGGCTAATGGGTCAGGTTGATGTTCAGAAAACAATAGTTTTTGAGACAATTTCAAATCATGACAAAACATTCAAGTCACGATTAAAAATGATGTATCATAAGTTTCAGTGATTTGGAGCTTTGTTCCCTCAATCTCATTCTCTGTAAGAGCAGATGACAAAGGTGTCCATATAGTCAACTGACTACCAAATCAAATGGGTATGTGGGCCACTTGTTTGAAGTTAGGGTTTGCACCGGCCCTAATTTCTGACCACATAGAAGTGGACTGCTAAGCTAAAAGCCTTCTAAAAGAACCAATAAACATTAATAGATATCATGCCCAGTCATCTACTGGCACATTGATTTAACCATCTCTCAAATGCCATGGTCACAGCTCAGATGAAATATTTATTCATTCAGGAACTATTCAGCCAGAGTGTGACAGGCTAACCCTACGACACTGAGCAAAGTTGGCATGATCTCATGGAGCAGGCAGTCTAAGGAATAACATACACTAACTGGGAGTAAGGAGGGTATTACAGGGAACAAGATGCCTCTGGGCTCTTAGGTGGAAGCTCCTGTTTTTAGAAGAAAATCATATTGGATTTATTTGTGTGTGTGCACATGTGTGAATGGATGTATGCATGCAGATACACATGGAACAGTGTGAGTGTGGATGTCAGAGGCCAGCTTTCTGGGGTTGCTGCTCTCCTTCAACCGTGTGAGTTCTGGGGTTCATACTCAAGCTGTCAGGCTTGATGGTGTCTTAACCCAAGAAGGCTCCTGTAGATCCTATTCTAGATTAGGGATGTGTTTGTATTGATTTTAACAAGACTGTGTGTGTGTGTGTGTGTGTGTGTGTGCGTGTGTGCGCGCGCACGTGCACGTGTGTGTGTCACACATGTCACAGCATGTACATGAATGCCAGAAAAAGGTTTTGTGGAGTTGTCCTCTCCTTCCACCTTTATGGGAATTCTGGGAATCAAACCCACATTTTCAGGCTTATGCAGTAAGTATTTTATCCCCTGAACTTCTCACTGGCTCTAGATTATAAGAGTATTGATATTTCTTCCAGGAAAAGAGTTCTAGTTCACTTTTGGATGTGGGGTGACTTTAAGGCTGCATCTCTAGCAGGATGAAGGTGTGCCTCATCACTCACAGCTCTGGCTCTATTTTTTGAAGATCTTTCTACCTTGGAGCTGAGCCACCACATTGTAAGGAAGTTGAGGTCATGTGGTTTGGCTGTGTATATGTGTCCCAGCTGAAGGCCGTAGCTGAGGTCCTGGTGAATGATGACATCAACTTACATCAGTGAGTAAGAGAGCTTTGACACAGGTTCTGCTTCTAGATTGGGTGCCTGAGCCTATACGAGGCAGAGAGGAGCAAATTCCACCAAGCCCCTGTCAGATTACACATGTGTGAGTAAAGCAAACACTGTCATTGTTTTACATCACTGAACTTTGGGGTAGCTTATTATGCAGAGGAATAACTAACAATATTATGCATGTGGAATTTTTTAAAAAGAAGCTATATTGCACTGGGCACATCAAGCGCCTTCAGAGTAACTAGGGGTGAGAGAGGAATTCCACAAGCCAGTCTTAGGAGCTCCACATCAAAACAGGAATGCATGTGCCAAGCAGTATTAGCCAAGCAAGGGGTGAGGGTGACAGTGGAGGGGTGGGGATGACAGTGCAGGGGGGTGTCAGTGCCAGGGTGGGGGAAACAGTGCAGGGATGGGGATGACAGTGCAGGGGTGGGGGTGACAGTGCAGGGGTGATGGATGATAGTGCAAAAGTGAGGTGTGACAGCGCAGTGAGTAGGGATTGAGAATACAGCACTGAAGATGGCTACTGTCCGCCAGTTCTGAGGTCTGAGCATGTCCCTCTGGCCAGCCCACAGAGAACAGGACTAGAATGGGAGCATGAATTAAAGTGCACGTAACATGAGGTGTGTGACTCAGAAGCATCTTACACTCTCAGTGCTGTCCCAGCACTAGCTAGCTCCGAGGCATGGTCATTACCCCCTGAAAGCACCAGTACCCATTGGGTAATCACTTTCCACTACAGTTCCAGCAACCAGTAACTTAGTTTCCATCTCTATGGACTTCCCTGTGCTGGGCAGTGTTTGCAGTTAAATCACGGCTGGGTAGCCTTTTATGATCAGCTTTTCTCCCCCCCCACCCCCGTTAGAGTGATGTCCTCCACGATTACTCTAATAGTGGAATCCTATCATACTTTGTTTTAATGGCTGAATAATACTATCCCATTGTGTGGGTAGGCCACATTGTTTACTCATTCAGTCTTGTGTGGTGGCTTGGCAGGATCTGTGAGCCAG